CGGTCAGAACATCATCGAAGACATTGACTTCAACACTACAGATGCTTTCCAAGGTCGTGAAAGCGAGATCATTATCTTCTCCTGTGTACGAGCCTCTCCGTCAGGTGGCGTTGGTTTCCTCCAGGACATCCGTCGTATGAATGTCGGTCTCACGCGTGCCAAATCGTCTTTGTGGGTGTTGGGTAACTCCGACTCGCTCATGCGAGGAGAGTTCTGGAAGAAGCTCATAGTAGACGCTAAGGAGAGAAAGCGGTTCTCTGCTCAAGATGTGCCAAAGATGCTGAACCAGCATTCTAGCAAATTTCCGGCACCAAAGGAGGGTTATGTGCAACCTAATCGTCCCATACCAGAGGTCAAATCAGAAGTAAAGTCAGAGCCCATGAGCAGGGCAGCCAGCAATCAGTCGAGTACCTCTTCAGAATCAGCGCCCAAGGCTATCAAACAAGAGATCAAGTCGGAGATAAAGAACGAACGAACACTTGTACATCACGAGAAGCGCAAGTTTCAAGACAGCAACGACGCAGGCGTAATCAAGCACGAGAGTAGCGACGCCGAGATGGAAGACGCTCCGTCTGACTCTGCCTCCAACACTATGAATGGTGGCAGTGGACGATCAACGCCAGCTGGCATGGCCGATGCCCAACGCAAGAGCTCAACGCCCAGTGGAGAGATGTGTAACGGAACGCATGGCGCGGTCGCTCCTCCGCCGGGGGATGTCATTGGCGGCATGTCGATGGCAAAGCCCAAGATCCGCAGACGACCTCGCGAACCACCAAACCCTTTTATCAAGAACAAGAAGCCAAAGAATGGCTGATTGTACATTATCTGGCCAACCGGAGCTGCTAGAGCAGCACGATTTCCTTATGTATATGATTTGGCAACAGCTACTTCTAGTAGTATGTGGCATCATTTGGCGTGGCGGACACTTTGATCAGCATTGACTGGCGTTCTGTCGCATTCCTGTGTATATGTAGCTATCCGACATTATTACTTCCTGGGGCCATATGCCCTGATATCGTATTAGATGAAGATCGGCCACGATGCCTAAAGGGGCGCTCTGTGGCTGAGATCTGGCAGGTAATGATCGACGTGCGTGCCGTGAGCTGAATCGCGTTGAGTGTGAACTACCGTACGTCTTTCCCGAAGTCGGGGAATATCCAAAGCGTAATATAGCCTAGTACGTGCAGTTCGGCGTCTTCTAGACATCTGAGCGCAGTGCATTGATCAGGACTATGCGTGGTCGCAGCATCGCAAGTGCGTGAGGGCCACGACTTTCTCTGGCTAGTCAGGCGTTCCTGTACCACCGTGACGCTCACCGCCCATTCTCAATTATTGGATTCTGCACTCCACATCATTCAAGCAAAAATCGACAGTCCCTTGTCGCGGATCATTCTGCATCGGCATATGCCTCAATGCATCAAAGCGCGATATCAGCAAGGCGCTCCCCTCGTCGCCGGATCAAGCAAGCCGCACTGCCCTCAATCTATACCTGTACTACATCGCCACCAATCACCATCGTGCACTCGTACTACAAAGCGATGCGCCCAGTTATCGTCATCGGCGAGCGACACATTCTCCAGATCGTGGCTGGCTTGCAGCTTGAGTTCCGCGGCGATTTCTAAAATGTTTTGTGGGCAAACAATTAAAGTTTGTGCTCCTCGGCTGCAAACATCCTTTGCGTCGCGGAGATTCCACTACTTTCAAATGCTACTCCCTGCTCCTATCATCTTGACCTTTCCAGGGCAAAGACATCTCCCGATCTATGCGACCTCATTGTCGGCTACCGGCTTCGCTGTCAATACGCTGTAGTGTTACGTTGCTCACCTCACGGCATCACGAGCTCGAGAAGTGATCCCTACACTCAGATCCGCCCCTGATTACACCACATCACTTTTCTCCTGTCGAATTTGAGAAACTGTCTTATCTGCAGCAAGCTTAGGCGCGAAGAAAGCTGCCGGTCGCCATACTTCCTAGACACTAAGGCCAAACCCACGTCGCCTCTGCCAATCACCGAAGCCAACCCTCCACCTACCCCTGCTTGGGGTTACAGCCAACAAGCAGCGGTCTTCGTGAGATACAACACTACTGCGTCTGCTGAGTTACCCATCTCCTGGCTGTACCACAATCTGAGCCAGCTTTCCCTGCTACGCAGTACTTACAGCTCACGTTTAGGCATCGGGTTTGAATGAGGACTGTTGTTCCCAAGTCGGCTTTAAGGGTACCTAGCAGCCAGATTGCAGTCATGATGTCGTCTGCTTCGACAGAAAATCTCTTGAACTCGTTTCCAATGTTCGGGAATACCAGATGGAGTGTTCTTGAATATACTGGGGCGTTGGGAGAGACGTGTAAGATGAACACAAGCGTGTCGTCCGAGTCGCTCAAGCGCAATTCAACGGCCTCGACGCAGGACGAAAACACCCCGCCGACCACTGCAGGGACTCCACCGACTGGCTATGGCTTGTCATCACCGGTGCACTTTATAGACGAGTCTGGGTGCCAACGAAGACGCAAAGGCTCTTTCCTCAACCATACCCCACGACATTTCGAAATGCGGTCTTCAAAGCCACTCGACGTGTATCAACCTTCCAGAAGTTTCAAAGAGAACTACTCGCGTCCCAGAACGTCTCAAGGGTTCCGTTCACCCAGCAACAATCGTATCGCTGCAAGTCCACGTGCTTGTAGCTCGTCAACAGCGTCACATACTACTGGAAGGTCCACCACAATTGAGTCTCGGGAGGCAATCGAGCTTGACTCCAAGGAAATATCGTCGCCGTCGTCACTTGAGGTCTATCAACCAACAGCCAAGCCAAATCGACGCTCGTCCTCCGTTCCTTTGGCCAGAGTGCTTACTTATGAGCCTTGCTCCGCTTTGTCTTCCGAGCGTGTAGGCCGCAATGCCAGTATTGGAAACGCAAGCATCCCAATCAGTCGCCCACAAGATAAGAAGCGCCAGCGCCGCCAGACGCCATTCAAAGTAACGATGCCGAATCTCACGAATGCCGCACGACATGCGCCACTGGAGCCACTGGTAGCCAAGCACCGACGCAAGGCTAGCTATGACACCATGAGTGAGCTGCTACCTGAAATCGAAACCGAGCAAGTTGGCGAAATGGGTACTTTTGGAGTGATCCAGAGATACTTCGATAGCCAAACGGGCGGTCCAGTGTCTGCATCGAAGGCGATTTGTCACGCCTACTCACCAGACCCGCGAGATGTTCCCCTCCCAGTTTCACCTGAGCCTACTCTTCCGAAATCGACCAGAGAGTCTATTGATATCTACGCCATTGGTGAACCAGATCTGCATGAGCCGCCACCAGCAGTACCGGATCGAAGTCCAAAGCGGCTCACGAACCCAAGCTTCCCAACCCAGATCGAGCCTGCCGTCTCCACGCATGAAGAGTTTGTCTTCGTAGATGAGGAGCAACATTCGTTACATGACGACGACAAGCAACTGGAGGGTGATCTCCACGTTCGGAAGAAGCGAATCTCAAAACGCCTTGACGTAGGACAGGCTGGCCGCGTAGGTTCATCGCAGGTAGGACGATTGGCGCCACCAATTCTCAGCCACGATGCACTGACAGCGAGTGCTGATCTTGGTCTGAATGATCTCAGCTACTACCTGAAGCATACTGGACCATCTACAGACCCTCAGTCTACGGCACAACCGCGGAAGCAAATGAAGCTATTCAAAGTCAAACAACGCAAGACTCTGGCTTCTCGTGTTGGATCAGTGGAAGGCTCTCCTCAGCGAGCACGCAGACAGGCGCCTATTCCGACGTGCGCCCGCGAGATGACCACGTCTGGAGGCGCGCGACATCTGAGGATCGTCATACCGACCGAAAGCCCTCGCAACACTCAGCTGGTTGCTGTTCCCACATCTCAACCTCCAAAACAACGACGCTCCCGACACATCGCCATCACATTCGACGAGGAGATGCTGAATCCCCTCGCCAGCCCGAAAGTGGAGCGTATAATGGCCAGCCATGGGCGTCGTTCATTCTCTGAACCAGCTCCTGTGTCGCCGCGGAGCCCGAAGAGGCTACCCAAGTCACCAAAGCTGGTGCCTGCTGATGACCACCCACTAGCGGTATCTCCCGAGCCACGGTCAAACCGAGAAGATCAGACGAGAGCTCGGAAGCTGCGAGACTTGCAGCGCATCAAGCGCAAGCCATTGCCGACGTACGAACAGAAAGAGCAGCATCCCGAGCCGGTTGCTGGAGCGTTACCGACGCCAGCTCACACACCAGAACCTCTGTCAGATTCAGTCGCGATTGACAGTGGCCATGACGAGGTTGCCGAGGAAGAGAGTTCGATCAGCAAGATGGCACGGATGCAGGAGAGGGCCATGTTGCTGCAGAGACAGAACATGGAGCTCACAGAGGCGCTGGCGAAGATTGTGGGGCTCGACCTTGAAGATGGAGATCTGAAGCCGGAGGACGTGCTAAGAGCAGTCAGGCAGGTCAGGTTCTCGCGATAAAGATAGTAACAGGCGGACGAGTGTGGGTACTCAATAATCTGCATTGCAATTAAATATATCTTTAATTTGTGACTGGACTCTGTCAATGCTTTGGTGTCGCAATACGATCGTGACGAGCCGACACGAGGGAGCTCCTGAAGATCATGACGAGGCTTCCCTGAATGTTCCAAATATAGATCTGGTTCCTGGATGCTTGGCACATTGCCCAGCTATCGCAACGATCGTGTAGCCACCTTGCTGAGTACCCAGGCATCTTGAAAATCGAACCGCTGCACTGTTTTCGTATACTCAACGTCTCAAGTATCGCTACCAAGCTCACATTAATCTATCGGTTGTCTTGAAAGCCGCGACCTCCTTCTCACCGCCTGCTTATCGATAAGACACCAAAGGACCCCCGCGACACCCAATCCCGCGCGTTGGCACGAGCTGTAGAAAGACTGGTCAATCGCGTCGCAGACCTCGTCACGAACCAATTAACCACCTGCATTCATACCTCACCAGCTTGAAGCAATCCATACACACGATGTCAACGACCGAAGGCCCACTCTTCAGCTCCGAGCTCATCTCGCCCGAAGTCCTCAAAGCACTCCCTGAAGGCTACAGCTGCCGACCGCTCGAGAGGAAAGACTACCACAATGGCTTCCTAGATGTACTTAGGGTGCTCACCACAGTGGGAGACATAACCGAAGAGGTACGAAACCTCTTCCAACCCCCTACAATAAGCAAGACATAGCTCTGCCACACCCACTCCGAAGCAAACACACGTAGTACAAGCGCACCGCTAACACACCAACCTCCTCACAGCAATGGAACAAACGCTACGACTGGATGTCCGCCCGCAACGACGAATACTTCCTCCTCTGCATCACCGACTCGTCCAACGCCATCGTCGGCACCGGCGCCCTCATAGTCGAACGCAAGTTCATCCACCAGCTCGGCCTCGTAGGACACATTGAGGACATTGCTGTAGCCAAGGACCAGCAGGGCAAGAAGCTGGGTCTGAGGATCATCCAGGCGCTGGACTTTGTCGCGGAGAAGGTGGGCTGCTACAAGACTATCCTGGATTGCTCAGAGGCGAATGAGGGATTCTATGTTAAGTGTGGGTTTAAGAGGGCGGGGCTGGAGATGGCGCATTATTATGGGCGGTAGATGTGGTGAGAGGGGGATGAATTGCATAGTGAGGGCGTTATTTGGAGGGATTGAAGAGATGTTAGATCTATGGGATATAGACTATCGACAGAGTACAGCTAGAGCACAGAAATCTGGTATGGAGCTGCGCGTAAACGTCGTTCTCTTCAGATGCCTATATTGTGACCAGGAAAAGTCCCCCGGATTTGCGCACCGGACCTGATGCTCCAGATATTACGAAATGCACGCATCACGATCAATGGTTTTAACGCAAAATGTTACAGAGCGCGTGTTGTACTGTGTTTGTTATCGATTCCGGGATGTTTGTTGCACTTTAGGGTTGTCGTAGATCAGCTAAACCTCGATTTGCTCGCTTGCACTCTACCACCAACGCCATCATCACCACCGCGCAACTTGAGAATCCAAGGCAACGATTACTATCGAAGAAGCAATTTATCGCCGATGGCGGATAATCCTGATTTTCGCTTGGACCGCAGCAATCTGATGATCATTTGATTTAGGCGGGGGTTGAAATTTATCATTGTGGACGAGTCATTCAACATCAAGAGATAGTTCACGGACAAGATGGCACACGATGAGCAACACGAGAATTGCGAAACCAGAACGTCACGAATTAGCGAGAAGAACACAGGTCACGCAGAAGTGGGGAAAGTACAATCAAAAGCGAAGCCCGAAAACCAAGAATCTGCAGGCAACAAGTTCTCACCCTACGACATATCCAGTGCGCCCAGGGTTTCTACCGGCCTCCCACCCGAGATATGGACCATAATGCAATCTGCGCCGGCGAATCTCGCGCCTGAGTACTTTCTCGAAACCAGTCGCGACCTGCTCGAGAACCCTAATCGAACCTCAACCCATCTTGCGCGCGCAGAGCTTTCCTACCAAAGTTTCACAGACGCAACATATAATCCCAAGGCTAGTATCCCAGAGGAACTGGCAAGTATTGTCAAGCATCTACGACCAGAATGCCGACCGCAACTGATCGATGGAGGTATAGAAGGGTACGAGCTAGAGTACACGGTTGTACGGAAACTCATACCTCGGAATCCGAAGCTGGATGACTCGCTGATGCAGACTTGTCATCTTTTTGTATCTCACGAGGATGTCAATATCGCCAGCGCAGATGAGAAAGAGGAGACCGTCAAAGCAGAGCGGTATATGGTTGTATACATTCCTCATGCTGCAACCCCAGAAGCCATTCCCTACTATCACCCCAAAGTCCGCTCGTTGGCCATGCTATATACATACTTTCCATCCACCTCTAAATCATTACATACATCTCTGATCTCCGTACCCGGGCACCTGTCTATTCATTACTCCCTCTTCCCTGGCCAACCTCTGGATAATCGCCTCTCCCGCACTGGTCTCAAGCTTCTGGAAGTCATACACAAACACTCGCGCGGCCGGCAAGCTGGGTATAAGAAGCGCGTTCATCACGATCAAGTCATCAGTCAAAAGAGGTTCCAGGACACGTATGCATTCTTGAAGGGCAAGTATGCGAAAGATCTGATCGAAGGATGGGTGGAGCAGACGCCTGCTGAGAAACATGTCTTTGAAGACCTGGGGATTACTGCCTTTCTCATGGAGCTATGGACGGACATGTACGGACCTAAGAAGGACAAAATCAAGCATGACGAGGGCTTTATGGAAGAGGAGGAAGATGCAGCAAAGCAAAAGACCAAAATAGCACAAGCCAACTTCCCAGGCTTCGTAGACATCGGCTGCGGAAACGGTCTCCTCGTCCACATCCTCAACGCCGAAGGTTGGCACGGCTGGGGTTTCGACGCCCGACGAAGAAAAACATGGGAAACCTTCCCACAACACCACACCGAGAAACTGCAAGAAATGCTCCTCGTACCTGAGATCCTCCAACCACCTCCCTCAGACACAAATCCCCCCTCAACACCCCATCACAACGGCGTCTTCCCACCCGGTACCTTCATCATCAGCAACCACGCCGACGAACTCACCCCTTGGACACCGTTACTGGCATACCTCAATTCCTCGCCTTTCATCGCCATACCATGCTGCTCGCATGACTTTGGTGGAACGAGATTCCGCGCGCCGGCGCATGCAAAACATGTTATTCCCGATCCCATGACGGCGGATTCGAAGAAGCCCAAGCAACCCTCTGCGTATGCCAGTCTGTGCAGTTGGGTATGCCATCTAGCAGAGGAAACTGGGTTTGTGGTTGAGAAGGAGCATCTGAGGATTCCTAGTACGAGGAACATTGCTGTGCTGGGGAGGGGCCCGCTCAAGCAAGAGGGACGCAAGGGTGGCCAGGCGAGTATAGAGGAGAGACTCGAGTTCTTGAGAGTATTGGTGGAGAAGGAATCAGGTGGGCAGCCGATCGGGCAGACTTGCGTTAATTGGATGCAGAGCGGTGATGGGCTGATGAAGACTGGGAAGGGCGGACATTGAGACGGAGGATCCTCTGTGCTACGAGATAATGAAGAAGTGCAAGGCGCCCTATGTCGCGTCATGATCGTTCAACCCAACATCAACTAGGTGCAGCTGACATGATCTGTGACAGGACACGCGCTCAGATGCACGAAGAGCAAATCAAACAGGATAGTTCACTGAAGGTTATGGGGTATCATTGAGGACATGGTCGTCCAGGACTGCATCATCGCAACTTAGACAAGCGATCCATTCGTAGTATCATCCGGTCATTTCGCCGTATCCGAACCCATTTTGTAATGCAGTAAAGCCCGACATGAAGATGAAACCGTATCTAGCCTTACTCCAGAAAGCCCTCAACTGCTTACGAAGCAGGAGCAGCGCCGCGTCCCCGGCCGAAGCCACCACGGAACTCGGGCTTGAACTCGCCAGGGGCAGCACCCTCAGCCTTCTCGCCAGCGTCACGGCGGCGGTAGCCGTCACGGTCACCACCACGGTCACCGCCACGTCCACCACGACCGCCACCACGGCGCTCACGGTCGTCACCGCCGCCGAGCATACCCCGGGGAGGAGCAGAGCGCTGCTGCTTGATGTGGGTCTGGGGAACGATCTCGGCGGGGAGGTGGAGCCATTCACGGAGGTAGTCGAGACCCTCAGGGGTGAGGGTGTAGTAGTACCATTGCCATGAGAAGCGGGTCTTGAGGTAACCGCGCGAGGTCAAAGACTGGCCTGTTGACTGTTAGGGGCCGACGGTGTTGCAGTGCAGTAGGGGGTACTGACAAGCCTTGACGACGTAAAGGTTCTTGGTGTCGATCTCGCCGTGCTTGGGAAGGTTGAAGTCCTTCTTAGCAACCAGAACTCCCTCTGTGGTGACCGTGTGTCAGCCTATCCTTATATGCAGCAAAGCCGCGAAAATGTATAATGGTGCCATAGCCATGGCTCGAGTGCGCGGGGATACTAACCTCTGAAGAGGTACCTGGAGAGAAGAACGGTTAGCAAATATGTTCAATTGTATGGAAGGGAATCAAGTGTAGCTCAGCCCATATCAAGTCGTATCATTTCGTGCGAAACTCAGAGCTCGAATGCGCCGTGGCATTGTTTGTTGTAGAGGGGGACTAACTCGTGGATCTTCTTGCGGTCGGCCTTGGGGATGAGCATCTTGACGGTTTGCGAGAAGTCTCGGGATGTCAGAGTTGTGGTTGAAGGTCGATAAGGGCAGAAGTTCGCTGGTAGAGAGCAGGCGATTTCGAGTGATGGGTGCGAAGCTTGTCTAAGCGAGCGCTATGACCAGCTGTTGCGGTTCCGCCAAGGCCCGGTCCCCAATCTTCAAGACTCAGTCGCCTGATCCCTCACCAAACCACTCTCGCCCACCAACAAGCAACTTTCACCCTAACCAGAGTTAAAACTCCCAAATCGCATTCGCAAGCGATCGCGATATTCACCACGCACGCGCAAAATACACAACACCGCGTCGCAACCATGGACGCCGCCACCCAGTCCCCCATCACCGTCATCGTCAACAGCATTCGCGGGCAGAACATCGCCTTTGCGACGCAAAAGGATGCGCCTCTTACCTCCATCTACGATACACTCTACGAGCGCGCACCGTGGATCCAGAACTCATCCTACATCCTGACCACCAACTCGCGCCGCTCCGTACGTCATGACGCTGCGCCCGTGTCGTCGCTCCTGTCCTCGCCTGCAGACACTTTTCTATCCCTACGCCTGACCGTACCGCTATGTGGTGGAAAGGGTGGTTTCGGATCTATCCTGCGCGCCCAGGGTGGTCGCATGTCCTCGCGCAAGAAGAAGCAGGGCGACGTGAATGGATCATCCCGAAATCTGGACGGCCGACGCCTGCGCACAGTCACTGAAGCCAAGGTGCTTGCCGAGTACCTCGCGATCAAGCCCGAGATGGAGCAGCGCGAAAAGGAGGAGCGACGGAAGAAGTGGGAGGACATCGTGGCCAGCACCGAGCGCAAGCAAGAAGAGCTACAAAACAGCAGAGGAACAGCACGTCTTGATGGGAAGTGGGTTGAGGACAAAGAGGAAGCAGAGAACAAGACGAGAGAAGCTATCGAGAAGATGCTGATGGCACAGCGAGACAGCTCAGAGGAAGAGGACGAGAATGATGCTCAACCGTCCGCTTCTTCTTCAAAACATGTGCAGCAACGGACCATGTTCGGGTGGGACGACGAAGATGATGAGTTCATGAGCGATAGCGAGGAAGAGGACGAGGTCTCCGAGGAGGACGTCAAGCCAGTGATCGAAGGAAAGGGGAAAGGCAAGGCCGTCTGAGATCCGTCGCACAGCCAGGAAAGTCGCGGACGCAATTTAATTTGAGCAGCATACAAAGGCGTTAAGGACAGGCTACACTATAGATACCCCATACCAATACACACATTATTAGCACATGGGGCGCACCCATTTCGCCCCGTGAGTTCAGCATCTTTCTGGAACAAACTGCCAAAGCAATAAACTGCCATTCTTCAACTAATGTCCATTCCATCCGCCTTATCATCGCGTGTTCGCATGCTTCCATTAGCCGACGGATAACCTGCATATCAGAAAGCGGGATAGTCCCGCACTACTGTTATCGGACATCCGACCCGCCCCTTCCTTACGACTGGGCGCCTGTCATGTCATGTTATCCTTTGAGATGCCGACTTCCATGACCCGTGCCGCCATGACTTCCATCTCTTCCCTTCCTCACTTCCTACAACATAATGGCTCTGCTGGCTAACAAGTTCCCGACTGCACTCCGCATTGCAAGCAGACGCTACCCCGCACCGAGAGTTGTACCTACTCCCAGAGCAGGAATAGCATGCAAGCATGTCAGATGCTTCTCGAATTCGCCACAATGGCGGATCAGAACGAAGGAGATGAATGATGATTCGATGAGAGATCTGAAAGTCAACCAGGAGAGGTTGATGAAGGACATCCACGACACATGCCAATGGGGTATAGGCGAGCCATGGGGCGAGTAAGTGGTCCAAGTTATGGATATCCATGTGTCTGACGATAGTAGAGAGCCAACGGAGACGGGTATGAAGCGATTGGCGCTGTCTGATGCCGACAAGACTGCACGTGACTGGTTTGCAGAAACAACAAGGGCACTCGGCTGTGAGGTTACCGTTGACGCCATGGGAAATCAATTCGCTGTGCGACCGGGACTACGGAACGACAAACCACCTACATTTGCAGGAAGTCACTTGGATACGCAGCCTACTGGTGGACGATATGACGGCATTCTGGGTGTTACTGCTGGCGTGGAGATGCTCAGAGTGCTCGCTGACAACTGGACGGAGACCGAGTACCCTGTCGGCGTAGTTAACTGGACTAACGAGGAGGGTGCGCGCTTCCCCATGTCAATGGTTTCCAGCGGAGTTTGGGCGGGCTCTATTCCTCTTGAAACGGCGCATAACCTTCGCGAAGTTCATCCTGGAACTGCAACCATGAAGTCTGAGCTCGAGCGCATTGGCTACCTGGGGGGTACACCAGCGAGCTACGAGGCCATGCCAATGGCGGCGCACTTCGAACTTCATATCGAACAGGGCCCACTTCTGGAGATGGCAAACAAGAAAATCGGAGTTGTCACTGGAGTGCAAGCTTACAAATGGATGACTATTAAAGTAAAGGGGCGAGACACGCATACCGGAACTACCGATCTCAAATCACGAGCTGACGCGCTGCTGACAGCGAGCAAGATGATCCTTCATTCTCATCGTCTTGCAACCGCCAATGCCGCACTAGCATCCACGGGTATACTCAACCTGAAGCCTGGCTCAACAAACACGGTGCCAGGCGAGGTAACTTTCAGCCTCGACATCAGGGCACCGAAAGACGAGACAGTCGCGAAGATGAAGGAGCTAGTTCTCCGCGACTTCCCCAAGATCGCTGCAGGCGAAGATGTTGAAGGCTCAAACCACGGTTGCACAAGTGGTCTTCCACTCAGTGTTGAGATAGTCGAGGATTTCGACAGCCCAGCAACCAAGTTCCACGCAGACTGCATCACGTCTGTCAGCCAATCCGCACGCAGTATTCTCGGCCCTAACCAGTCTATGGAGATGACTTCTGGTGCTGGGCATGATAGCGTCTACGCGAGTAAGCGCTGCCCGACCAGCATGATCTTCGTGCCGTGCAGAGAAGGTGTGAGCCACAACCCAAGGGAGTTCTGTAAGGAAGAGGACTGTGCACTTGGTACCCAAGTTTTGCTACAGAGCGTGGTAAGGTTCGACAGAATGAGGGATGAGAGAAGGGTTTCATGGAAGCAAGAGCCATATACTCTATAGGGAGAGCCCGCTGGGCGACAGCTTAGCATGACCCGTGTAATCTTTGGTAGTTCACGAGCTCATTCATTGGAGCACTGGCAATCAAACAGTATCATCCCACATTCTCACGCTCGGCGGAACGATGTGAAATTTAACATTGACGGCGACCAGGAGCGGGCGACTTAGAGGAAGCTGGAGTGCAGTAGCGCCGCATGTGACTTAGCGCCACTGCCAGTTGGGCAACGCCCGAATGTCCGCCCTGTTGCCTCCTCCACATGCCCAGCTTTCTCGACATATACTCTTCTTGAGAGCTGAGAGCCAATAATGATACCATTCTAGGGGCTTGTGTGATACTCGAATCGCAAAAGCTGCTTTCCGATTGCACCGCGCCAGGGAAGTGCGTTTCACGGCGCGTTGCAGCTGCAATCCAGCCATGCTCATCCCTGAGGCAGACGTTCAGCCCGCCAAGCTCAACACACCCAGCATGTGCCTTCCAAATGGCCCTCGCGCTTCATTAGTTGTACCACGCTGCAATAGGATCTTGGAGTCAGCCTTGGGGAATTTGGCATCTGGGACCGGATCGCACGAACAGGGTGTCCTTCTCGCAAACAATTTGGGCATTACAGATCAGCGTACAACACCACTTGATTATCACTAATTCATACACAGTCCTCCGGAAGACAACTGTCGCGATAGGTCCGTTCGGACTGCGGCTGACATTGCTGCCTGCAGGTGCTTCAACAGGCTCGCATGAGCCACCCCACGCTTAACCCAAGGTCCTACAAGCCGTCGGCATCTATGCTACCCAAAGATACGAGTTATCGGTGGCGCTCGGCCAGACCGATGTGTTACACATGCATACTTGCGCAGGAAGGCTGGTACTTTGCTCTCTCAGCTCGTGGAACAAGGGTAGCCGAGGGTAGAAGCAGGTACAGCGCATGTGCACAAACCGCATTCCTCGCTGGCACTCACAACACCACACGAACTTGTTCCATACCGCTTTACCGTAGATGAAGATGCGACCAAGTCTCCGCTTCTATGTTTTGAATATCGCCGCGCTGGTCGCTGGAAAAGACATCCCCAATCCACAAGTACGGGCGACTGGAGTACAGGTAGCGATACCAGAGAGTCTTATCACGCCGGCTCCTGTTTTGCATGGCGATATATTCAAAAGATCCGTTGCGACATGCGGCTTCATTCGTGGCAACTCAGGTGCATCGATCTTTACCCCGGGGATGCGGCCAACATCTAACCTGCAACAGAATTACCCATCACATGTGCGGAAAACTATAACTGCATCACTACACAACAACTTGACCTCGGCTTCGCATGCTGCAATAACGTTGAGTGTCTCGATAATTGGGCTACATGCAGACCGTACGGTCAGACAGATTGTTTCGGCTATTCCCTCCCAGCCGACACCTGCTCGTCCATATATGGCTCAATTCTTCAATGGTATGCCCTCCAGAGTTTTCGTAATAGAATGAATGCTCATCTCAGTCTACAGTTCGCAGCAAGCACAACAGTGTTTCCGCTACGCTCGCACTTCTGCCCTTGGCGACAAGAATACATTCTACTCGTGGGCATGCGGATCAGCTTCAGACGACATTCTCGTGCTTGCGACTTCAACAGTTGAAGGAGAAGTTCTGACCACGGGATCCGGCACCACGGGTATCGATGATTTCCTGCGATCGATCACTAGCGGGCTCCAGCCCACCGCCGGTAGCAAAGATCCCACAGCCGGTGGTAGTGGAGGTAGTGGTGACAGCAGCAGTAATCCAATCAGTACCACTGCTATTGCTCTCATAACGGTGGCTGGTATTGCTGTACTTGTCATCGCTCTGCTACTTGGATATTTCTGCTGGTACCGGCCGCGCCACCAGAGAAACAATGACGTTGTTCAACACAACCAGCCCTCTCAGTTGGAATACGAGCCGACTGTTACTCAAGGACCTCGTACCGAAATTATACCATCATATGGCGGATCTCGGGATGAGATCATGGCTAAATGGAGCGGCCTGACGCCTCCCGGAGCACATCCGAATGTGCCGCCGTCTGAGGCTCCTAGTGATAGTGACTACTCTGGGCCCACTGCGAGTGAGATGCCACGGCCGATGTCGACAGTGCATGAATCGGGCAGCAACTTTGGCAACAGATTCTATGACCATTAGCTTGGAGTGGCTACACGAATACTCTATTGGCGACTTTGATGCTCCTCAGACTGAGCATGAAGGGCGTAGTTAGCGAGACATCATCAATGGACTTGTCGCGAGTTGCTTTGTATATTAACCTAATATCTAAATTCTATCTTGAGAAAACTGTCAACTAGTTCCAACGAACACAAGCAGCAAGCGACATCTGCCCTCATCTCACATCGAAGCTTCCCATGCCTTCCTGGTCGCATCTAGTTTCCGCACTTTATCGCTCTTGAACACTAATTTCCACTTGCTATCGTCAAACAACTGCAGAAGATCACATTCATCACCACCATTTCCGCCGCGCGATAGCCCGACCTCATTCACGAAGTTCCATTCGCGGCCACACCTAGCATCACACTTGCATGGCACCCACTTCGAGAACCGTTTCAGCATCTCGCGTCGATTAGGGTCTATGTTTGTCATCTTGGTGAGATCAAGACTAGATTCGACGTGGAGCATGTACAAAATCGCCATCACGAACGGCTTCCGATGTATACTGTTGCGCACATCGCGCTTGTCTCGGAGAAGGCGCGCCCAGGTTTCGAAGACGTGGTTAGATGATGGCTTTGCATCGGGGCCGAACTGCTCAAAGAAAGCGCTGACTGGAAAGTTGTTAGTGTTTCTAAGGGCTTGACTTTGGACTTGTGATACGTACAAGTGACTTTTCTGTCTTGAGGGTTGCATCTGTCGTATATCGTTTCGTACACGTAGTATGAGTCCAGCGTTAGATGTTGCCAGTATGATGGCGCATACTCTTTGATGTACTTGGGTCCTTTGTGCAGTGAATAGAACAGTTTCGTCACAGCGGGCTTGATGTGATTTGCAGATGGAGTCGGTGAGATGATTGGTTCTATTTCAGGATAGTAGTCAGCATTGATCTACATGCTGCGAGAAATAGCCAACATGAGAGACCATCTAAGTAAAGTCCATTTCTTCAGCACTAGCGAGAGTCAACGCACTTTTCTCGGTTCCTGCCACGCTCACCCAGCGCTCCACCATCTCCAAAGTCTGCGCGTCGTTGCCATACGTATCAGTCCGCGATGCGATAATGCCCTTTTTGCTCGCTTCGTCGATCGCCACTTCAGAGAGGTCGGGAGGATTGAACCGAAAGTATCCGTCCCTGCTTGCCAATTTCTTATGCGTGAGATGGAATTTGTTCGCTGTGTTCTGAGTCTCTGTTGCGATCGAAGCAATGCTCTTTGCAACCTCGGTGACTTTCTCGCCGAATCCGTGTAATGCTGGTTTGCCGGTACCAATCGATACTAGCACTCTGATCTGCTTGTCGAACTCTTCTTCGGATTTATCGAACAGCGACATCGCTTCGAGGTACAGTTCGTCGATGGGATTGTTGGAGCCGATACCTGCGTCAAGGAATCGTCTAGGTTCACCGGAATGTGTTATCTCCATTGGCGCAAAGAATGATGTTGCAGCGGATGTAGCACGAGCTACCTCCCAGATTTTGACTTCGTTGTAGAAGTTGGAATGCTCGCCTGCTTTCTCATAATCAGTGAAGCGTATCGGGACACGGCTTTCTTCTGTCATGGCAATCACAACACTTGCTAAGTCAGCGTATGGTCCCGAGACGAAGAACTTTGGGACATTACGTTTTACAAGCTGAAGTTTTCGACCCTCTGAACCTATCATCCGATGTCCACCCAGCGTTGGACATCACCTGCTTGATCGCTTTCTCCATGTGCTTCGTTTTGTACCGAGGCTGCACTTTACCATTTCGAATTTTGAAAGGCAGTTTTCTGTCTTTCGGATCGAAGACAACGTCCATCAGTCCGGTGTACGCCTCAATGCACTGATCGACAGACATCTCCAATCGACCGAGCATGATAGCAATCAAACCTCCTGTGCTTGTTCCGCAGATCATGTCAAAATAGACACATGGCTTTGGGCTGCCAACCAAGGATAGTATCTTCCTTAGCATATACAGTGATGCCAGACCACGTACGCCTCCTCCATCGAGACTGAGAAGTCGGAGATCTCCAGACATTGTCGCTATGTAGCTCGGTAGCATTCGTAAATCCTAGATGCAAAGCGCATACATCTGAAGGAAGGAAGAAACACGTGGAAAGACGAATGCAGAGCTCAACAGCCAGCGCGTAAAGACCTTAGACGCACGTGACATATCGCGTAACTCAGCTTTCGTCCCGAAATGGTTTTTCTTGGTGTGAGTCAATTCGCAGCTAGATCCGCAAAGCCGCTGTTCAGCTCGAGACCGGTCGCTGAACACTGCGTTGGGCCTGTACCCCCACGATGCGACGGCTTGCAATGCTAGGCTACGATTCGTTCGTACAATCTTACATCTTCGCGTGAATGAACAACTCTGAATGGCTAGCCATGCTGTCGGGCTACACAAGGCTAAGCGGATGATGCAGAAGACCAAATGCGAGGGGCAATATGTGGCTTTTCTTGGCAGCTGAACAATTAGAAATCGAATGACCTGAACACAATAATCTTTTGAGGCGCATTTCTCAGGGCATTGATTGCGAGTGGTTGAAAGCGCAAAAGGAAAACGAGGCAATGTCACACGGCGTTCTTTGGATGCGCAGTGGTTGACCCCTCAGGAAGCTTGGCCGACAGTCTTGTCCGTACCTTGTCACCCAACTCTTCAACCGACTCCACCAAGTCAATGTTGTACTTTTCACATACCAACTGTACGTTGCCTCTCTTCCAGAAACCCTCTGGACAGCAAACAATCGCCTTGCCTGTTCCGGCATACAGTCCTAGTTCCAGCAGCGTGATGGGCTGTAATGCCTTAGCCTCGCCTGCGAAATAGAAAACGATAACATCGGCTGTGCGCGCGTAGTCCATTTCCCATTCAACCTGCTCTTTGAAAGGCGGGAAAGATATGTCTTCGATCCAGCTGCTGTCCCAGTCATCTCGGCGTGGGTTCAGGATAGCAATGGGTAGATCGGAGAGCAAGGCTGTGAGGTGTGCCTGCCAGTCCTTGTTGGGATCGGACTGAATAGCTCCATAGAGAATCACAGATGGCCTATCGACTAACGTTCGGATGGGGGGTTTGTGAACGATGGCTTTGGTTGTGGAAGAAGACATGTCTGATAGAAGTTGTGATGGTGCGGAGGCTGGCGCGTGCTGGCGCTCCACAATAACCGCGACTTGCTATGACATAGTGATTATGTAATCTGTTGTCCTGAAAATCAGGCGACCCTCCAACGCCTAGTTGGTACCAGCCTTGCATCCGACATCCATCGTAAACCCAGCCATTGATTAAGTACATCGGATATCCATAAGAGCGTCGCAATGTCGTAAGAAAGCAGTCATATCGAGAAACGCACTTCTAGTGTCAAGCGTGGGGCGAAGCTCACAGGGCCCGGGGTGCCAGGTGCCCGTCTGGCCAGACCTGACGTGTGTACGGATTCGCAGGGTCGCCTCCGTTACCCCCTTCATATGTGACCTGGACGGTCCGCTCGTACAGGATAGCTTCCTCGCTATCGTTGTCTCCTTTATAAGAGACGTGCCCGGTCGGCGCCTTGGCCTCTCGCCCACCCGAGGCTTTAGGAGCCACGCTAGCAAGAGGAATCTCATCGTCGCCGTCTCCTTGCGCGCCGTCTACAGTGCGCATCAACGTATCGTACTTGCGCTTGGCGTTTCCATCACTTCCCCAGGTGCGCAACCCGCGATTGCGACCTGAGGAATCTTTGTTTTCAGATCCGCGACTCTCGCCGACTAATCGCGGGGCCGCGTGTTTTAAGAAACGTCGCAGGGTCGGCAAGCAGCAGCATATGACGAACAAGTTCGATTCGACGACGCTGTATTGTGGTTAGTTTCCTGAAACCACATCAGATCAACGGAGGCCTTACATCCACAAGCACCCCACGGCTATGATCCAGGTTTGGTCCATGTCTGTCAAAGCTGGGATCAACACAATAAGGCGAATTATTGAAGTGACCATTGTGCTATATGGAGTCAGCATTGGTTCGTAGCGCGACTTTCCTTCTCGGTGGACACTCACATTGATCCAACACAGAACATGATTGTCAGTCCAATCTTCTGTTTCATCGCCATTTGCAATCCCCAGACGGTCGGAATGGGGATGGCCATCAGCATCACATCCGTCACGATACCGATCACAGCCGTAGCAATATAGATTGCCCCTCTGTTGACGCATGTTGCCGTAGCGAGCAGTAGAGGATCCCAGCTGGCTGCAATTGGCTTGCAAGCGAATATCAAACTGAAGAATATCGCTGTATACGAACCAGCGCAGACGAAAAGGGTGATCCAAACAGCCCATTGGAAGGCGACGGACGGGGAGAGACGACTGTAAAAGATGCAGAGTGCGACCTTCGTCAGGGCTGTGCAAGGAGCATACACGACTGGTGCTGCTAGAATGAGCTGTCAAGTCGTCGAATCAGCACATACGCAACAAAAGTAGGTGAGGGAAAGAGTTGTCAGCTTACTCGCGAATAAAAGCCGTATTTCTCGATCGAGATTTCCCAGGCGTGTACACCGATACTACCGGTCGAGAATCCAGTTATCAAGAGACCTTGAGTGCCCACTGAACAAGCCCAACCAAGGAGGAGTAATGCTGGACCTCTGTCAGAAGAGTTCCTCTGCCACTGTTATTGGATATCATACCATCGTCAATCTGGAACTGCTTCATAAGCCGAATCTTGGTGTAGAGCCGCTGCCCAAGAAACGCAAGTGCCAAGATGTTCTCGACGATGAAGACCACATACGTCTCCGTCACCAGCCTCCGCTGTGGGTTCGCGAAGTCGACCTCGTAGCCATCGGGTGGAGGGATGATGGTTGTGACGCCGTTAACTGTCGCCATGACGTGGCAACCGTTGGACAAAGAACGGATAGTTGATTAATGAACAACGGTCTCGGGAGCGGCAACTAAAGAATACCCCAACGAGGGAGAGCATGTACGCCTAGGACTCTTGAAACCTTCTTCTCCAACTAGCAGGCGGAGGTGCTTCACACATAAGGTTGTGGAGGCTAGACGGCCAAGTTTGCGCTAAATTTCCAGTCCAGGGGCGGAACACATGGGGAGTGGATGTGAACGACATTCATGTCGATCGCATCGAAGTACTCGCCTGGACGTGAAGGCCCGTCTCGGTAAACTTGACCCCTTCGCCAGACCGTTGACCCCGATATGGACATGGAGGCACAATAACTACCGAGAAGGGGTCCGGGGTCTTGCTCAGATAGATATGACACCTTCATGTGATCGGGACGACCATGGCCAATGCACATTTGGCTGCTGGTTTACTGATTTCAGACCACTTCAAACTGTATATCAGGCCTCCATACTCCAGTCCACAAGACGATTCAGTGCTCATCTGGTTCATGCCCCAGTCTCCACTGAACAGATCGGATCATACGATAACCGATATGCTATGAGAGTCATGGTGAACACCTCTCAGATCCGCATTTCTGAAGCATGATAATTGGCCGCAATGCGAGCGAAGAGTCGATGCTGACGCGTGCGAAAAGGTTGAGATCTGATCCTACAGATCGAAAACGTCGAAGCCCCGACGGATAAGGCCGATACTAGCTATTCCCGTAGCTTGTGGGTCTTGTGTTCGGACCGCCCGCGGCATTGGTGCAGAGTGTGATAGGTTCCATTTTACCGTCCCGTGTTCAAGGATAATATTTGCCTATCATATCGATGAAAATATCTGGAGCCCTCGCCTCTTTTCTCAGGGACCAGAGGAGCACACCCCTCCTTAAGGCTAATGCGCACACCACGTGTTAGAACGGCAGCTGGATATGTACCCTTCTGCTATACATGTTAAGATCCGCATAAGAGCCGCCTACCTAGGCAGGAGGAGGACATTTCAGGTTTAAATGCCAAGTTGGAGCGATATCTCTTTCGGGTGCTGTTAGCCGCTGCTGGCATGGTAACTCTGCCTGCAGCGATGGCGGCAATAAAACCCCAACCGACCCGGCATATCGGTCCAACAACATCTTTTTCGAGTGTGCTAAGTTTTAAAGTTGAGACAGCATGAAGCTCCTTGCACCGGCTATTGTTGCATCTCTGGGATTGCACGCCGAAGCTGCCCAGTTCGGTGCCCACAAGAACGAGGTTCTTGGCAGTAAGAATGACAGTTGCGTGCGTGACGGGTACTCCCTAGTCAAACTTTGACCATTGCTGACCGGATTTAGTGTTCATCGCTGGAGGTTGCCGGACTGAAAAACATCTTTTACGAGAATGATGAACAGTACAAAAACCGAACAGCATCTTACTGGTCGGTGAGTGCTCAGTTGCAGCCTAACTGCATTGTCCAACCAGTATCTACCGAAGAGGTTTCGACTGCTGTCAAGACCCTGGGTGCGCAAAGCAACTGCAAGTTTGCGGTGCGGAGTGGTGGTCATTCGACCTGGGCCGGGTCCAACAACATTAATGATGGCGTGACACTCGACCTCGGTCTTATGAACACAACTATCTATGATGAGGCAGCAAACCTCGCACGATTCCAGCCTGGCACCCGATGGGGTGGTGTTTACGGCGCACTTGAACCTTATGGGGTTACTGTCGCGGGTGGACGAGCAAGCAGTGTTGGTGTTGCCGGTTTCTTGACCGGAGGAGGAAACTCTTTCTACACTGCGCGAAGGGGTTTTGCTTGTGATCAGGTACAGAACTTCGAGGTTGTCCTTGCGGATGGGTCAGTACTCCGTTGCATCATCGCACAATACATGGGTTGTCGCTAATACCAAGCAGCGAGGTTGTCAACGCGAACGCTACGTCCAACAGCGACCTCTTCACAGCCCTCAAGGGTGGCTCTTTCAACTTCGGTATCGTCACCCGCTATGACGTGCAAACATTCGCTGCCGGAGACCTTTGGGGTGGTGTCAGGGTTCACGACAAGAACCACACACAACAACACGTCGAAGCTTACACAGCATGGGTCGACAATGTCGAGAACTACCCTGACGGCTCAAGCATTGTCTTCTGGAGCTACCTACCCGCCATGAAGGACATCGTCATCATTGCCGCATACGAGGATGTTGCCGGAAACGTAGCTCCCACAGGCTTCGACAAGTTCATGGCTATCCCTGCTCTATCCGATACCACAAGGAAGGCAAGCCACAAGAACCTTACTGACGAGCTTGAGCAACCTACAGGATACCGGTATGTCATCCTGAACGCAAAAAAATGATCAAACTGACAGATCTAGTGACATCTGGTTCACCATGACTTTCAAGAACGATGCCACCGTATTCAAGTACATTGTCGACGCCCACACCAAGTTCGTCGAAGCATGGAAGGCGATCAGTACCGACGGCGACTTCATCACCCAGTGCATGTTCCAAGCTATCCCGACCACCTTTGCCGAGCACAGCAAGGAACGCGGTGGTAACGTCATGGGTCTTGATCTCGTAAAGGACAACGCAGTCATGCTTCTTTTCGACATTGCTGTCAAAGGAGAAGAGACCGAAGTCATTGCGAGAGAGGCGCTCAGGGCCGTCACCGAAGAGATGCAAAGATTCGCTGCCAGCAAAGACGCTCTGGTAGACTGGCAGTACCTAAACTACGCCGACGCTTACCAGGACCCACTTGGTAGCTACGGCTCCGCAAACGTCGCTAAGATCCGAGCTGCGGCTAAGAAGTACGACCCCAAGGGTATGTTCCAGACTCAGGCACCCGGTGGATTCAAAATCTCAAAGGTCAAGAATTCGACTTTTACCAAGCAAGAGTTGTAAGTCTTGATAGCGCATCCGCTGATTACAGCGAGCAATACGAGGCAGAGGAGGAGGCTTTTTCATGTTTATTAGCAAGCCACGACTTGAAGGATCTTCAGTTTTATCTATTCTGCCTCAGAGATCACCATACCCATTACCTTCATAGCTAGGCGCATCCAAAAGCTCCAGAGCCTCGGCTCTCAGCTCTCTATTCTGTTGTTTCCCCTCAACCTCGTCTCTCGACTTCGCCGCCTTCTCAAAGCGCTCTTCCGCCTTTTCCGTATGCCGCGCGACACGAATATACCTCGCAACTAACGGAACACACCACTCGACAAGCTGCTTTGCCGTAGTTCTTTTCTCCTCGTCTCGTTCCCACAAGCTTTTATACCAGGTGTTGAGTGTTCTAGTATATGGCCAATGCTTCCAAGCCCTGTACTCGGGAAAACCGTTCGCCCAGATGGACATGGGGACGTCGTGGTGATTTACTAGTTCCTCTTGTGTAGCGTCGAGCGGGCGGTAAACGGTGGGTCTGAGAACACGCCACTTTAATTGTTTCCAAGCGCCGTCGTCACTCAGGATAGGCGCGAGTTTGTGTGCCTTTAACTGACTTTCGAGGAAAGCCTGCCGCGATTGGACAGGATTTATTCTCAAAGCGAGCGTTTGTAAGGTCGCACCCAGAGCCCAGATATCAACGGACGGCCGGTGCTTCTCTTGTTCGGTCAATGGCGGTGCGTACTCGGGTGTACCGAGACAGTCTTTTTTGGGCTTCTCGCCTTCAAGTAGAGGATATCGTGTCATACGAGCGAAGTCGGTCAATCTGAATACCGGCTCATCGGGGATACCATCTTTTGGATTCCAGCCTTTGGGGAATTCGACTAGAATGTTGTCTGGTTTGACGTCGTTATGGACGTAGCCAAACTCGTCGTTCATGTTGTGCAAGTGATCCAGAGCGAGGGCCATGTCGCGAAGACACTTCCAGATGGTGACTTCCGATGTTCGTATGACATGCTTTGATTGCTGGAGTTGCTGATCTTTATATGCAGCCATGTATGAACGAAGATCTCCTAGCTCGCAGAATGGAAGGAAGATTGCTGGGGCCGCGGGATGATGGTTATGCGACCATGCTAGCATTCCGGCGATGTGCTCATGCTGACCGAGGATAGTAAGATTCTCGACTTCTGCTTTGATGAACTTAGCTGCTTCAGCTACTAAGTAAGGAGTGTTGTACGCGATTGGTGTCTTTACTGCAATAAGCGCTTTGGAATGTTTGTGTTGGTATGCGTAGACTGTGCCATCACTCCCTTCCCCTAAAAAGCGTGTTTGGTTGAATAGCCTTTTGAACTTTGCGTAGTCTTCTAAATCACCCGTATTGAAGGATGAATTCATGCTCGCCTTTGTTCGCTCCCCGCTAAGATCCAGGAAGATTCGGCTCCTGCGCTTGAGTGAGTCCATTTGACAAGGGTGGGGTATATAAGATTAAAGTGACAGCACTGTGTAAAGCTACGGCTTGAAAACACAGATGTGGCTATTATATACTCACAAGGTGCCTCGTAGGAAGGCGCCCTAGCATCCTGAACTTTGGTTGGCGTTGACTGGTAGTGCTATGACACACAGCGAAACAAGCCACTCACAGCTTGCGCAATAAAAAGAGTACCATGAAAAGGGATCGCGGCGAACAAGCTGAATTACAGGCATACTGTTGATGAATTTCGCAAGTATTGTAACGACGGTAGTGACAACAGTAGAATCGTCAGGCTCCTCACATCTCTCGACCAATCTTGACAGCGATCTTGCCCACAGCACTCTGCTTTGCCATCATCTCAAATGCCTCAACCGTCTGGTCAAAAGGATATTCGTGCGCCACCACTGGCTTGATGCCGTGCGCTTCAACGAACTGCGCTAGTTCGACAACTGCGTTACGCGGGAAGGCGCAACATCCTTTTACTGCGTTTTCGTTGTCAGCATACTTGGCATTTGATCCAGGAGAGATAGTCAAAGACTTACCAGTCTTCGCAGTAAACAAGATACTTGGGACAAAAGCCGCGTCGATAGGCGCATTCGGTGTCAAAACACCTGGCATGCTGATCAAACCGCCAACGCGGGTGCTGCTGATAGATTTCATCAACGTGCCTGCACCGCCTGTCTCGATAACGTGATCGACGCCCTTACCGCCAGTAATCTGAGAGACTTCTTCGTCCCAATTCGGCGTGGTGACATAGTTGATGAGGTGCGTCGCGCCGAGACTTCTCGCAATCTCGAGCTTGCTGTCCGAAGAGGAAGTAGCGATGACGATTGCGCCGAGGGCCGAAGCAATCTACGTCCTGTCAGTATACATCCACTTGCAACACACATGACGACTTACCTGAATCGCAAAACAGCTGACGCCACCCGTACCCAAGGTAAGCACCCACTTCCCTTCCAATCTCCTATCGGTCCAGCCCCCGATCCAATCTCCAACACTCCCATCCAGCCTTCCATCAAGCTGCCCACGAATCGCAGACCAAGCCGTCGCCCCCGCCGTCGTCAGAGAGGCCGCCTCGACTGCCGTCAAGTTCTTTGGCTGCTCCACAATCCACTCATCAGGCAGCACAAGATACTCCTGCAACGTGCCATCTTGGCTCGTGCCGCCTAGGATCGTGGCAAAGTCCAGATTGCGGAAGTCTCCCGACAGCCACCCGTTCTGGTTGAACATGACCGCTAGTCCCTTCTTGCCGGCCCAGGCAGAGTCTGCGCCAGTCGAGTGGATGATGCCGGCTCCGTCAGAGCCGGGCACGAGATCGGGTTTGTGGTCTCCTGGGTATTGGGGGGAGCGGGTGGAGATGAGGACGTCGCGGTAATTGAGGGAGGCTGCTGTCATCTTGAGGAGGACTTGTTTGGGCCCTGGAGTTGGGATAGTCTTTTTCTGTTTCGTTAGGTCGGACAGCTTGGTGGCTGTCGCCGGAACGGTCCATGCTGCGTAGGTGGTTGGGGTAGACATTGTAGAAGTGCTTTTCTTCCAGTAGTAACTTGGTGAAGATGATGAGGTTCTGGTGTTTATCGCGAGCTGTAGCGGCATACTTATACCATATTTTGATACTTTCACCAATACCGAGATGCAGTCAGCATGCAGCGACACCGATGATGCTTAGCGAGCATTCACCTAAGGCGTCCATTTCTGGCCTATTCTGCGACAACTTCCAACTCGGGGTTTTACAAATGCGTCTCCAGAAGTTGAGGCTCATGGCTGGTACTTTTCGACGTGAACTTGTTGATTGGATGCAATGCGCCGACATTGGTAAGCAAGGCGAGCAACGCGATTTCGCAATACATACCACCGGTTACACAAGGATATCCTCGAACGCGAGAAAATGCAATAATCAGAGATTCGGTAAGCAAGGCAAGGAGCTGCATCAATCAGTGTTCATGAGACGCAAGCCTCATTTCCAACACTCTTATTCTCATCTCCATCCCCTACCCATCTACGCACCATCCTTCTTCCTCTGCCCGACGAAAAAGCCCAATCCAAAATCATCCGTCTTAAACGTAATTTTGCTCCCCTTGGGAAAAAAAAACACATCCCCCTTCTCAGCCTTCACTTCCTTGCCTGTCTCATCGCTGATGTAGAAATGGCCGTCCACTATGATCTTGATCTCATCGTACGTATACGTGTATACGAGTGGTGTTCCCTTTTCTAGACGGTAGAAACCGCCGCTGATGGGCTTCTCTGGGTCTGTGGACTCACTGATGAGGGAGGGAGGGTTAGTTTGGGTAGTGGGTTGCTGGGATTTGTGGAGGCTGGACGTACGACGATACGACGTCACCGAGGTAGGCGTTCTCGTTGGCGATTAGAGGGGGTTTGAAGGTTGTTTGCGCTTTTTCGAAGTATTGCATTGCTGGCATTGTGGCGGTTGGTATGATTGGATTGTTCGGGTTATCTAGGGATGTTATAGACGCCGCTGGGAGTGGAAGGCGCACGAGCACGACCGGCCTTATGTACTACGACCTTATCTACCATCGCCCAATCTTCAGCACTTACGACATCGGCATCATCAGCTTCTCAAGATACACTGTTCAAGGGGCTTTCCCTGCTTCCGTCATCCAGTCAGCCGCCATATAGGCGTAGAGCAGCGCATATCTGGGACTTTGATACTGCATATGGCGCTTGGCATGCGTCAATTACATAGCCGATTTGGCGGGAGCTTTGCTAAGCTTTCCGATCTTATCCACTGCCATCTATTAGTGTGCGCTGCAGGTCATGAGCAAGACGACCCCGAAACGTTGGAGGTAGATGCGGATAGTGGGGTGGCATAAGGTGGGGCAATGAGATGTAATCTGCGATTGGCTATGAGCTTATCGTCAGGAAAGGATTACTCCATCTGGATGTCGTGCATATGTGGGTTAGTGTAGTAACGTGGGTTCCGACTATGACTCGAGGAGACTTTCGCAAAGCGGAGATGCTTGTTGCTTGAAAGGGGCGATGGCGCTGCGTAGTAATCCTTAGAACTGCGTCTTGAATTCTGATAATACATTCTGGGTATATTCAAATTAATGGATGCGGTAGTGATATCATGCAGGTCGTTCTTCTTCATGTTCTTCGTCCTCTTTCCACTTCTTGCGCCACCACTTCATCTTGAACCAGTCGCCCAAATTGTCTTGGCTTTTGCTCCCTTGGCCGTACCCCCAGGTCTGTCGTCTCCGGGATGTTTCGTCCATGTCTGTATCAGAGATATCGCCATCCTCTGGATCGGGATGATCAAGAAGTGATGTAGAGCTGTCCACGGGCTTCTTTCCTTGCGACACGCTCCTGCCTCGGCTACCGAATCCTTCGAACCAGGACCGCCGACGCATCTGATTGAGCCACGCCGACTGCGCAGCATTCCTTCGTGGAGGCAAAGTCCCAGATCTTGGTCGTCGTTCTAGATCCACGGATCGCCGGGCAGGAGAAGGCAAAGTCTCTCGGTCGTTGAGCTCATCCCATATCTCATTTGTCTCCTCCGAGATAGTCATCCGCCGTCTCCTCGGCAATCTACGGGATTGTATAGGACTTTTCAAGTCACCGGCGTCTACCGATGCTCGCTTCTTCGGATTGGCGAGTGTTACCGCGGGACCTGTGGGAGCGCCGGCCAGCAGAGGTGTCCTTTCGTCGACCGCTTTCCGTTTGGCTTGCTCCGAGGCATAGCCATGCACGCCTGGGGCTTCTTCATCGATGTCCAGAGGTGAGTCGGATTCGTCGTGGCTGTGGCCATGCGCAAGGCCGATACCGGGTTCCAGCACATTGTGAGGCATCGGAACCCTGCCGGTGTGCTTGCTTGCTACTGGTGACATGGGCTCTTCCTCGTTGTCTTCAAGTCGCCAGCTCAGGCAGACAACTCCCGCGAGCAGAATAACAGTTCCAAGCGCGATCAATCCAGCGTGCAGACTCGACAGGCGATCGTTTTGGTCGAAGTAAATGAGGCCGTCTATAATCGCGATGATGTTGTACACGCAGAAGACCAAGGGGTAGAGCACGCTCGTGCTAACCAACTTCAGTCCGCGATGCATGTAGTAGAGTTGGGTCAGGGCGAAGACGACCAGTCCGACTAGGATCATCCAGGACTGCCAGCGGTCAAACTGATTATGACGGTCGATGAGAGTCCGGACGAGGAGTTCGACGGCGCTCTTTGCGATCAAGAGTGAATGCGCGGAGAGGATGCCACTGACGCAACCGAAGAGGATACCGCGTACGAGGCGTTGTCGAGGAGTGGTCCGCGGATGCATGCGGTGTAATAACCAAGTGGCAATAACCAGCATGACAACCACTATGCCCGTCATGACCATCCATACAATGAAGGTGTTTCGTCCCAATAGCGCCAACAGTTGATCCAGGTTATGCGACGGTTCCGCAATGGCACCGAACAAGGCGATGAGCAATGCGCCTATCGCAACGAGCATCGTGCCGACGAAGGAGTATCGCGTAAAGGGTTCGCTGAGGATGATGGAGGCGCATATCGAGTTGAAGACGAGGCCGGATGCCTGGAGGGTAGAGAGGACGGGAAGGGGGAGGGTGGTGATTTGGATGGTACTGCCGACGATGTTTGCCACGACGAACATGAGCATGCCCAGCTGTATGTGTGTTAGTGAATCGTCTCCGAATGCGCGAGGGGTGTTCGTGCCTGCCATCTCCGCCGCTTGTATGGGGGTCGCCTCTCATCGTCGTCGTCCTTCTCTTCCTCCAAGAGATGGGACTTCCGCTGCAGCGTCAGGCCAACGCTCTGTATGCTGGTAGAGGCAAGGCCGACCATTACTCCAAGCTGCATGTCCTTCCGTTAGCGGTCTATTCCCGCGTTGGTATGGCGGCCTGGGTACTCACAGCAACGCTCGCGCCCGGCGAGAGTTCCACCATGGTTCGTGTCGGCTGTCGTCGCTGCACTGCGCGTATCGCTACCTAGTCGTCGGGCGCATGCTGTGCGTATGGGGTATGAAGGGCGGGGATGTGTGGTCTTGGTAGTAGACAGCGCAGACGTGGGAGTCGCGAAACGTCACGCTGAGTCGGTGAAGTGCACGAGACGGTTGGGGAAGACTAGCCGACGCCGTGCAGGTTGCAGGGATCAGCCGACTGATGATGTAGTTGGATTCAGGAGGAGAGCCCTGGAGAGCTCGGGAGCAGCAACGAGGCGACGCGACGAGGTTGAACAAGAGATATATCCATTACATCCATAGGGTGACACGTTTAATATTACCATCGCGTACCTGCGACGTCGTGCCATGGGTCCTCTGCAGACGTACCTGGGTAACCGCGGGCAGCGTCTGGGTGTCTGGGGGCCCAAGCTTGAACTTCAACCTCCAAGCTCCGTCACTGCTATACCTCGACGCCAGCACCCATAACCCGACCCCGTAGCCCAGAGGACCCCACACAATACCGCCATCATGTCGCAAGTCCACGCCCTCTCCGACGACCAGGTACAACTCCCCACCCGCTCCAGCCCGCGGCAAGCTCCCCGCCCACTACGTCAACACGATAGCTAACACGCACCACCATGGCAGGTCGCCGGCGAGCTCAAGAAGATGACGGCCTTTATCCGCCAGGAAGCCATGGAGAAGGCCAACGAAATCCGCCTCAAGGCCGACGAGGAGTTTGCCATCGAGAAGTCCAAGCTCGTGCGCCAGGAACAGGCCTCGATCGACTCGTCGTACGAGAAGAAGTTCAAGCAGGCCAGCATGTCGCAGCAAATCACCCGCTCCACCGTCTCCAACAAGAGCCGATTACGCATCCTCTCCGCCCGCCAGGAGCTGCTCAACCGCCTGTTTGAGAACGCCGAGAAGAAGCTGGGCGATGTTTCAAAGGACAAGAAGAAGTACCAGAGCGTTATGAAGGACCTCATTGTCGAGGGCGCCTATGCGCTCAACGAAGACAAGCTGCAGGTCAAGGTCCGGAAGGCCGACTACGACCTTACCAAGAAGGCTATCGAGGAGGCGCAGACCGAGTACAAGAAGAACATTGGCAAGGACGTCTCCATCACTATTGATGAGAGCGACCCGCTGCCAGAGGGATCGTACGTCTCGTGATACCATGAAGATCGGACATTACTAACTCCAGACAGCGCTGGCGGTGCCATGATCGTTGGTACAAACGGCCGAATCGACATTAACAACACCTTCCAAGAACGATTGAAGCTACTCGAGTCCCAGGCCCTGCCATCCATCAGGGTCACGCTCTTCGGTGAGAACGAGAACAGGAAGTTCCACGACTAAGAGGTCAGTCTGGAAGTGGAGTAAGAGAGTTGGCTGGTGTGCCCGGCCGCAGTCACGGGTCAGCACAGACGAAGGTCCGCGTCAGCAGTGTCGGACCGAGGTTTTGATGAGTAGACTGTACATGCACGAGATCTTGTAGACCTCTCGGAACATTTAGCGAGTTTTATTCCATGCACATTATCGGAAGTAATGTTTGACTGTGATATCATTGAGCAACTGTTCTCGACTCCTAACTACAGAACCTCGTATGTACTGCGAAGGAGGGTATAAATAACAAAATGTGCGTACAAAGACGCTGTGTATCTTCGCATCAAGTAGTGGATATCATCAACACTCATTACTCCCGTAATAATCAAACGCCAGTGCTAAGTCATAGCATGCAAATGCTCGTATATACAACAAAGGAAATCATTACTGTGCATCGAATGCACTCATACGCGTTCGTAAACGCGATCCCACATGGGACTTCTCGTCCTCTTCTGCCCACCACCCATGACGTTCCTCAAAGGCCACTCAGTCTTGCTGCTCTTCTTGAGAGACGAACTGGGATCTGGGTATCGATCGAAGCTTCTGTGTCCACCATAAAGCTCATCGTCCTGGTCGGTATACCCGTTGTTTGAGTACTCAGGGCCGTAGTCTTCAAGGTATGCGTATCCGCCTGCAAAAGGATTTGAGGACGGTTGCTGGTGGGTGATGGGAGAGATGGGTCCGGAATCGTCGGATTGGTATCCATGGCCGGAGTTACTGGATAAGCTGGAGACAGCAAGGCCAGAGGAACTGCTTCCGCTGTAGTCGGCGCTGTTGTATGCGAGAGAAGGGCGGAGGAGACCTCGTGACGCTTCGGCTGCTGGGCTACTGATGGGACTGGTGGGAACGGGTTTGCGTTTTATGCTCGCCACGGCGGGGACGGGAAGCGTGTCTAGAGCGGACATACTGGGTCTCCGCGGGCCTGTCTTTGGTGGTGAGTTGTTGCGACCTAGCACCGGAGAGTCTCCGTTCAATTCTTCGTCGGGTTCGGTCACTTCGGCCACTGAGTGCAGGCTCTTATAGCTTGTTCGTCGGCCGCGCGCACGATTCGACGAGTGGCTGTGGTAGAGTGCGGGCGCTAGGATAGGCGTGTGATTATCTTGCATCGCCATTGGTGTTGACTCTGATGGCATTGAATTACCGTCGTTGGGATGGGGAATGCCTGCAGTCGCAATGTTGTTTGCCTGAGACGGTGTAGGTGCTGCAGCCGGTGGGATCTGATGGCCATGGTAGGCTGTAGACATGGGAGCCGGATCATAGCCATCATCCTCCCAGTTCATGTCCTCAACGAAACGGCTCGTCTGGTGTGATGCGGGATTCAAAGGCCGCCTGTGTTCGAAATTTTCACCGCCCAGTCCTCGGTCCTGAAACGAGAAACGGGGAATGAAGCCCGGGGATGACGGAGGTTGGCTGCCTTCGATGGATCTCCTTCTCTTTCGGCGCAAAATAAAGCAGCATGCGAGTAGTAATGCGGCAAGTGCGAGTACCGCCAGTGGCACACCCACACCAAGTCCGATCTTTTCGCGTCTTGTCAAACCAGCGTCGCTAGAAGCGGGTGCCACAGGATCTGTCGTTGGGTTCAAAGTTGCAGATGAACTTGCAGCGGAGGATGCAGATGTTGAGATGGTAGTTTCCGAAGATGATGATAATGATGACGATGATGATGACGACGATGATGATGACGACGATGATGATGACGACGATGATGATGAAGTCGCGGGTGTGGTCGAAAGTTCGGAAGAAGATCCAGAGGAAGATACCACGCTGGTGATTTCGCTCGAGGCACTGCTCGAAAATGCCGCAGGCGTGGAAATCGTGCTCAAACTTTCGGATGCTGATATCGCAGAGGATGGCACTGCGCTAGTCGATAGTGACTCAAATATCGATGAGTCCACATTTGAAGCAGTCTCTGAGGGAAATGCCGTTGGTGATGCGGTGACGTCGGTGGGCAATGCTTCGCTTGCAGGTGGTGCTGCCGTCGCTGGTCCGAACTCTTGTATGAAGTAGGATTGTATGTCGTATGGCAGCTCTTCGAACCATTGCGGTCGGTTGTCGTCTAGGAACTCCTCCCATAGTATGCTCGAGACAGCGGGTATGTTTGTCGCAGCGATCTGTCTTAGCGAAAGTGGTAGTGCAGTAATGAGCACTTGCAAGATCTCGATACTATTATCAATGTCAGCGCAGTCAAAATTGATGTATTTCAAGGACCCTTACGCATCAGGATCTTGCCTATGTTGTAGTGATCGAACATCTGGTCTTGGTGCAGGTGTGATGACAGGCACCGCAGCGCCGTGCACCAAACCCACCACATTCCCCAAGACCAGCCAATTCCATCCTCTTAGCGAATGCATGTATGCGTGAACGAGCGAGTGTGGTAAAGAAAGCAGTAATAATAAATGGCAAGTAGCGGAGAGTCAATGTTCGCAATGATGCGTCAGCGCTTCATGTCTGGCAACAATAGTACGAACAGTCAGGAAACCAGTGCCCAGCGGCAGCGGTGGCCATACTTTTTGACTGTTCACACCCATGTACATTGTCGCATGCCGTCGACGTCCATAATTCGTTGAAGCAAGCAAAGTCGTCGCAGTGTGGCGATTGATCAAGAGATCGTCCACACAGCCCACCGGTCTCGTTACTGCACTTGGTAGGATCTCATGCAGATCAGGGTCCTGACAGCCGGTTATGAGGTCGCGCACCCGCAGATTCGCCCCTCACTAGCCACACTTCGGATGACACTTTTGGTCGAATCGCATGTCGAGCTGCCGTTTATCCTGGCACGCATGTTTTTGGTGGAGCGATCCGAGTGGGTCAACGGCTGAGTGTGGCTGGTGCGTTGCAGGAGGGTTCGCTTCGCTGCCGAACTGGAGAACGCTGTGCCGGCGAAGCGATGCCGCGTATACGTTTGATGCGATCTTTGCAGGGAAAGATTTGCATACAGAGACAACGTGACGTTCGATAGACATTCTTTTTATTTTTGGATCAGTTGGCGGAGGACGAGTGCCGACCAATGACTGTTGGGTGCTCGGGCTGTTTGGGTGACTCCTTCCATCTCGCGTCGGCTGCGCGCAAACGCTCAATGAGGAAATCACCGTTCACCGTCACCATAGTCGCGTCTTCTGTCTACGTCTACTGAAAAATCTTAACACAACCTCACACCCACTCCTCCATGACCAGCTTTGTATATACCACCACCACCATTAACACGTTTGCGCAACGCGACCCAGCCATGGCATGCAATCAACCTGCGCCATACCACCGACGAATGCGACATGCGCGTTCCTGCGCGAGTACCTCGAGAGCATACGCGTAGAATTCGCACCTACAAGCGATCGCCTGGACAAGACATGAAATTGCTGAACCCCTGGCTCAGTCAAGATGGCAGTTAGAGCAATCATGTTCAGTGGCAGCCCTAATCCTCAAGGCTAGCCTTTGTACCTTCAACTGACTCAGATACTCCAGGACCTCGCCGCTAAGCACCATGCACACCCATGGCGATACTTGTCACAACGCGACTTGTAACCCAGACTTATCAACGTACACACATCGCGATAGAAGCTATTGTCTCGTCCAGTACCAATACACGCATTCGTCATTGTTCAAGCATGCTGGCTACACCTACGCTCAAGTAAAAAAAGAACTTGCATCTCAGGAGCGGAACGACGTTCAACTTGCACGTTCAGAACACTTCAGATCTAGAACCAGTCACTACAAAGACAACGCGGACGATTGCCGAACGAGAGACCAAGGCTGTCACGCTAGCAGCCAAAGGCCTTGTGTGATGCGTGGATTGGTTACCGAAATGAATTGGCGCCCGACATTTTCCCACTTTCCAACCCCACCTTCCAGGCCTTCTTTCGAGCTCCGCGACAGCGACGACGACGCAATTCTGGCGATATATTGCCCGCTTCTTGACCTCATTTCATCAAGCAAGGCTCGTTGGTGTAGTTGGTTATCACGTCAGTCTAACAACGGCCGTCAAACGCCAGTTAGGACACTGAAGGTCCGGAGTTCAAACCTCCGATGAGTCATCATCGGCGTTCGCAAGAGCGCATCGAACTTTTTTGCCTTTCCTCCAGGCTGTTGGGGTATCTTTTTGCTTGGACAGCCCCCACATCACCATTTTGAGCCGGTTGAGCCTATAAATTGAGGAAGATGACGATGCCGATTTTTCTAGGCCCCCTTATCTCCTCTAGCCGACGGCCTTACACTCTGAGGTACCCTCGCTGGATTGTGGGCGCTCGTTGGCCCGTCTACCTCGGTATCGCATCGGAGGCGAGCCTGTAGCTTGTATGGAACATTTAGATGCGAGTGCGCCTTTGACTTAGACGCGGTCTGGTCATTGAGATTATCCTTTGGTATACGAGTATTCAGATTCTAGTTAGGCAACGCTACTTTGCAAGAACTGCATACGATTACGCATTTGCTGGCTACAAAATTGTGGAGGTTCGACGCCGCGGCGCTGTTCTGTTGGGTTCGAAATCTTAGGCTAACTCGCACAGCAAGCTCTACTTGGTCTATGAGGTCAGGTCGGGATGTTGACGATAGTTAAACATTCTATCTATATTAGACTACCTTCGCAGTATCTGTGCAACAGCTATATGCAGTCTATTCACATGGTCCTCTCCACCTGACTTGCTTCTCCAGGCCACGATACCATCTGGTCTTACTAGAACGGCTCCATTCCCTCCTACCTCTGAAAGCTGATCCCATTTCCCATCAATATCTTCTAGTTCCCTACCATCAATACCAACAACGTGGATTAGCTCGTCTCTGACCTGGTTCCAAGTAGTAGGGTCGGCCGTAAAGAGAACGAAACGGTCCAAGCACAAAAGATCGAGGGACGAAACAACATCATCTCCCTTCCTCAGCCACATGTGGGGAAAGTGATGCCCAGGAATGGTCGAAGGGTGGTATTCGGTGACCTTCAGCTTCCCAGTCTCGTCCACCTGGCCACCGTGAAAATTATCCCGCCCCTCATTGTCGATATCAGCGGTTGGATAGAACCAGCCTATTTCTGCCCCTGGGGCTTTGAACTCTGTATCGAGGGTCTCTTGCGCTCTCTGTACATCCGCATGCACTTGAGCATAGCCTGGATGGCTTTGGTCAAGCAGGACTTGAATGGCTCTCTTGTTCTCTTCGACTGAAGAGTCTTTGCTGATACCCAACGCCTTGTCCATGATCATGCTGTGACTCCGCATGTTGACGAGGCTCGATTGCGCTACTCTTTCCCCAATCGGGCGGCGTTCTTCATCGTATGTGTCCAGAAAGTCGCCATTCCCAAGTTTGCCCTGAAGCATCAAAGCTAGCTTCCAAACCAAGTTGTTAGCATCTTGAATACCCGTGTTGAGTCCGAGAGCACCCCATGGAGGTAGGCGATGCGCCGCATCACCAACGAGGAAAGTGCGGCCGTTTTTACTGCGATACTGCTCAGCTGAAATAGCGTTGACAGACCAGTGGCTCAGACTCATGACTTCAACTTCCAAGTCTGGAATGTTGATGCTCTTCTTCAATCGACTCATCATTGCGTCGTTGTCGAATCGGACGGGGTCGTCCGGGAGGATGCCGCAGGCAAAAATCCACTCTTCTGTGTCGGGGTTGTTGGGGTATGGGCCAAGGTGGTACATATAGCCAGTTCCAATACTTCCGCCCATGTCCGGGTTGATGAACCAAGTTATGAACGCTTCTGGTTCGGGATGTTTGAGGGATATTGGTGCTCGAATGTGTGCAGTCACCATGTCGACTATGTTCTTCTCCCCATGTAGTTCAATACCAAGTTTGTTTGTTACCATACGCCCGCCATCAGCTGCAATAACATACGAAGCCCGTATAGTCTCGCTGGGTCTAGATTTGTCACGGAATTCGATCCGTAACTCCACGTAGTCCTCCTTCTCCACGATGTCGGTAGCTTCGGCACCATACTGCACACCGCTCGGGTTCAACTGCTTGGCCTTTCGTGAAAGAATGGGCTCGAGCCGTATTTGTGGCAACGTGAGATAACGACTAGGACTTGCTGTCCTATACTCGTCGGCATACCTCCCACCACCCCATGCGTCGCGCGAGACTATCTTGGTACCAGTCGGTCCAAGAGAAGTGAACCACGCCGTCTTGGAACATGTGTTCGGAGGTGCTGCATTGGCGATAACCTCCTGCTCCACTCCCATCTGACGGAAGATCTCGCCAGTTCGTTGATTTAGGCCGCATGCCTTCGGGTGGATCGAAGTGCTAAGGTGACGCTCGAAAAGCACGTGTGGAATGTTGCGAAGGGATAACAGGATTGAAGAGGAAAGGCCTACAGGGCCTCCTCCTATGATGGCAACTGGATATTGCTGAGGACTTGCCATTTAGTCCCGGTAAGATTGATGGACAGCAACGAACGCTGGGACACAGGAACTTTACAGCGAGAATCCCCCCCGTCTTTGACGTTTCGGCTCCACATTCCCCTCCCGAGGTCTTTACCCTTCCAGGGTTGTTACCAACTTTACCAACTTGACGTGGTAAGCATGTGGTATCTCACACTACGTCACTCTCGGTTGAATATGGAACGTCAAAACGGCGGTCTTCCAGGCTTCGCGCTCGAGCTTCGAGTCTTGTCGCGACGGACTTTGGGTGTGTGAGGGTGTACATTGGTGGGGTCGGTAAGTGGATATCGGTGATTTCAAGACGGCGGTCGGTCACGCTGAGCGCCGATTCTGTCCCACATTCCGCCTGCTACTTTACCCGCTCTGATCCTCATCCATCACACGTGTGTCAAAAGGATTGATGGCAAATGAGAAGTATTTTTGATAAACGATTGGTTGAGGAAATCTATCCATCCTCTATGTCTCTTTGTTTGCCTAAAAAGCGGCAGAAATATGTACAAGGAACGTAAAGCTATACGATCTGAGTTTTTGTTCGAATCTCTCGAAAATGCTCAAGAGTTACATGTCGCCAAAGCCTGGCTTAGTACGCGCCGTAAGAGCCGGTGCTCATAGCACTGTTTGCATCGACGGTAACAGTGACTGTCTGCTTGACCGTCTCGGTGACGATAGGCGCGCTGGCGCAGGTAGTCGCATCTGCAACCTCAGATGGCACCATGGGGGTAGGCTGTGGGGCGTTGTATCCGCCAGTCGCTGTGTTGATTTGCTTGTCTGGAAGCACAGCGCTGTATGCTGAGTATGAGCTCAGGGGGAGAGCGGTAGCGGCAGAAGAGGCGTTGGGTACAGCCGCAGAGTAGGCAGC